AGGGAGGGAGGGAAAATTAGACAGGCCGATGTTCTGGCAATCCGTTAATTCTTTTGGCAGACGCAAAAAAAGTGTTTGGCAATGTGCAAATGATAAACTTGGTTTATAAGTTATACAACGCCTTTTCATCAACAGCAGTTCGTCTGCGCGGTCCTTGGGGTTCAGTTCGTTCTGAGGAAGCTCACAGTCACCGGGAATCAGCCACACGTGGTCATTTGTATATATAATGCTGCGTGAAATTCATTTAAATACGCGTTTTTCAGACCGTACAATACTAATACAAAAGGAACACAAAGCAAATCTGCATGTAATTGTTTTTCGACAGTGTCACGCACCTGTCGGCACAGGGAGAAACGTTCCTCCGGAGGCAACTTCTTCACCTAAAAAACATGTAGTAAATGTTTACATAGTTTGACTTAATACCTATTTGCTATCTATAAACTTTGATCACGCCAGTCAGCTACTAGCTAGTAGTATTTGTCAGTCTTCATTGCGTCTTCATTGGACATCGCCATTATATCCAACAGCACCCAGAAATAGAACCAATAGAATGAATGTATTAGAAGTCCATAGGGGTTTGTATTATGTAATCTAATTGGGTATTACACCACTTCCTATGCTCACACTTTTCATTCTACACCACCTTTCTGTCAATCGACTGTCAGAATCTCCTCCTTCCACCATAAAACCAAAGCTGTTAGGACAAGCAGTGACACAAAATCACCACTCAGCAACCTAAAACAGTCCTTTCGTAGGTGGATGCAATGACACCAATAGAATTTGTGTGGCAGACAAAATATAAGTGTACATACCATGGGGAGCAGTCCAGGGATTGTGTTTTCAGATGCATAACGCCTTTTCATCAACAGCAGTTCGTCTGCGCGGTCCTTGGGGTTCAGTTCGTTCTGAGGAAGCTCACAGTCACCGGGAATCAGCCACACGTGGTCATCTGTGGATAGGCATGAGATGGTATTACCTTTTTTTAAACTATCATTCTAAAGCACAATCACTCGACACATCACGTAATGCACGGATGCAGTGCCTTAACATATTGTGTGAACGTTTTAAAAAGACACATGCTAAAATTGAATTATGAGAGTCTGTATCAAGCCTATTTACATAGTAAATATGTAGGAACACATTGGTACAGCTATAAATCTCCATCTGATATATCACGAGACAAGATACAGTGACATACATATTTACCTCCGTGTACAGATGTATTAAATTGAATTTGAGTGCGTGTGTGTGTGTGTGTGTGTGTGTTTGTGTGTGTGTGTGTGTGTGTGTTGTGTGTGTGTTTGTCCAGTTAATTATTAAGTGACAGCTCGTGGGTGGAAAAATTCCCTAACCACAGTCCACAAAAGGTCAGACACAGGAAGCTAGATCCCAGAAGCTGTCGGAAGTTAGCTTCCAAGTGTCAGAGGGAAAACGCAGGTCTGTTTTCAGTATAGCCAGTATAACCGCATAACACACCAGCTAAAGCATAGACGTTAACAGAAAAAACTTACGATAATAAACAAGACATTCACTAAAACTATTGTTATAAATTTGAACGACTCACTTTTCTTGATCCAACGATGGACAGGGAAGTCGTAAGTAGGTCCGTTGGTGTCCGGGTTGAGTTGGACAGAGACCGAGTCGCAGTACCAGTCATCATCAGGACAGGTTTCATCCCGCCATAACTCCATCTGCAGAATCGGTGCTGCCACTTTTACATCCCTAAGTGGGTACCTGTGAGCACATGTACAGGATACTAGTACTAGAGATGTAGCAAAGCAAATGCTCAATGTTTACCTTCACATAGTTTAGCCTAACAAACTACTGCTTGATTTATTCATTTATGTTACTCAAACACATTCATGTGTAATATATATGAGCACCCCCAACAGGGTGTCTGCTACGAGCTACAAAATCAGTTACCATGGTGACATAGTCTGGTCCAGGTCAATGACCGTAGGTGTTTGGAGAAGAAGGAAAGAGGAAGAGAACAATATGTTTTCCTTCTGCAAACAAAAAGGTAAACATAAATATTTGAGGCTAGTTGTATTTAGTTATTTTTTTTATTATTTCGTATTAAGGTGGGGTGTTTAACTTGTCATTTTTGACATGATTACAACCTGAACGATTCTCTAATGAATGATTTTAAACTAGCATCGAATTTCAGCCCTGTATTGTCACGGCTGCCTGTCATGCTGGCGTTGATACAAAAAAAACAATAGATAAATATAAGGTATCAAAGACATAACTCAACTTACTGCCCTTCACTTCCCTTTTCAAAGTCATTCTTCCACCACACATCCAACAGCAACTGACGGGACTGGTGGCCTTTGTCGTCGTACAGGCGGATGAAGACGTTTGAATTTGTCCCAGCACCGCTGTACGTCCCGGTCTTCGCTTTGACCAACACGTCGATGCCATTAACCTCATCAATGTCCTGTAAATACACGATGGTAAAATAGCGTGATCTATCCTCAGAAATAGAGCATTGGCCTCCCTATGTTTACTAGAGATCGATCTATTCTGCCTACCTAAGTGCAGGTAAGGTCAGGGGGATTCTGTAACGTTTTTGCACCGACATTTGAAATACGTTGATTACAAAAATCTTCGAGTGATTGACGTTTACTATACGTCCAATTTTCAGCATGTCTTAGGTTCAAGCTGTTGAAGTTACAGTAACAGTAATGGGGACTCTTGTACAGTTGTCAAACTGGTCATGAAGGTATAAGGTCTTAAAAAATTAATATCGTTTTCACTGTCATGAAAGTCCATCTGTGTTGGTAGTAACATGTTGAAGGTTAAAACTTCTGATCCAACACAAAGCAACTCTATCACCTAGAACTTCTTCAACAGACTGACCCGGTGAGACTTGTCACGTGGCTTCGCTAAAGTTTGATGTCAACACTGGGTCAAAGGCATATCAAGGGTCATCACCCATCACTCAACCGCTTCCTATGACATTTAAACTACAAAATCCTATCATGATGGAAACCATGTAAAATTTTGTTAACGTACGTCAAGGATGTCGTCGATGTGAGATGGAAAGATCTCCTCCAAGTCTTTAGAGTGCTGTATCCAGAATGACTTGATTTTCACTTCGTTGTCAGGTCGTCCAAAGCGATTTATCTTCGTCCCCGTCCACACCGGAGGGTCCTGGAGCTCCCATCCAAAGAAGGTGTTGAAAATGGCGATGCTGCCTTTTATCACGGAAAGCGCGACATCTTTACCGGGACACATGTGGTTGTTGGCCGCGGGTGTATCCGTGAGTCGGCCGTGAAAGGTGACGTGGTGTTCCCGGCGTGCTGCACCCTCAGGGCCGAGAAATCTGCGCCACACGAAGTCGTCTGGTTTGTCGAAGACGGCGGGGTCTCTCAGTGCCCAGTAGGAACTTCCATACACACGTTCACCTTCCTTGATCTGGAAAAACAAACAAATGAAGAGGTCCTATAACTGAACTACAGAGCAGGTGAACTAGAAAGAGTTGTAATATATGATGGATTTGAAGCATTGCAAAGCGTAAAATTTGACTCACACACACGAGCACCAAAGCAAACCTAACCTGGATGCCAGCCTTTCATGTCTGAGCGGCGGTATGTGGTGATCCACTAGCAGAGGCCTCACCCAACGCTGAAATTATCTAATTACGTTAGGTCATTATGAATTACCGGAAAGAACATTTGCTGGTCCTCTCTTTTTGTCAGGGAGAGATCGAACTAAAGCTAAAAAAGGCTGGCTAAAGCAAACATATAATGCTTGTCGCTACTTGTCTACGCTACTGGTCATTGTGGTACTTTTAATTATGTGATTCCAAAATAAAATGGATTGCACTTAATATAAACTTTTATAACTCTGTCTTTTGTTAAACACCTACCTCCACCTCATGTTGACCACTCTTCGTTGTGTACTTGACAGTCGCTGGACGTGTCGCGATGGTGCTAAAGAAGTCTGGGCTGGGACAGGCTCGCAGCACTTCCAAGACGAAGCTCTCGATCTTCGGCATCTCTCTCAGGGCCTCACGGGTCAGGCCTCCATGTTTCTTTAGGGCGGCAAGCGCTTCCTCCCGTAGCTCTTCCCGGTCCTCTGTGCTGATGGTGTCCAAGCGGGCGAAAGATGCCAGCAGATTTGCACTGATGCCGCCAACCCCATTGAAGAATACTGAGAAGAGCAGTTGCCCCGTTGCCTCTTTTTCTCCCAATCCATGCGACTTGCCAAGATCCATCAGTTCGTCATACCTTTGATTACAAATAAGATGATTTGTAGGCATTGAACACATCACCATTGCCTTACTGCATTCCAAACACAGTCGGTAATTTTTTAAAAACAGTATCGGACTTTTTAGTGGTTAGTAAATGAAAGTCAACTCCGTTAATTTCATTTATTACTATTGCTTGGTCCGAAATTAGCGAACTTTTTAGTACCATTGTAAAGTCTGGTATAAATTGATTGATTTGTTTACAAAGTAAACTTTACCCGACTTTACAGACATTTACTATCGTCGGTAAATCCAACTTTTCTTCCAGTGCCACTTACCTCTTCGATGTCTTTATTTTCCCAAGGATAGACAGCAATGCCTGGCGCCCCTTGTTGGGATCCTCTCCCACTATTGCTTCTAAGATGCCTGACCTTAATTCAATCGCACTTTCGGCATAGACGTTGATTTCGTCAGCGGTAAAAGGCGTTGTTGATTTCCCGAATATCGTAGAGAGGAAAGCATCTGCTACTATTGTCGTCACCTTTGTCTCGAAGTCGCTTATTGGTTGACTTCCCCACTGAGAGATGTTGGACAACACGGACAAAGCGGTTGATGCCGGGATCTCCCCGAAAGACTTTGACATGACTTCCACCAAAAACCCCTTGTTTTTCTCGTGGATCTCGCCGTTGGACGTAACGCTTGGACAAACACCTTCTGTGAAATCCTTCTGGATTTTTGCTACGCCAAAATAGAACTCCTCCTTCCTGAAAAGGTCGATGTCAAAGACGGACTGCACAGCCTTGTTTCCGGTCACCACACGGCACGGAAAACCGATGTTTTTCTCCACGAAATCCTCTTCGCGATTTGGAGTGAACGAATGATTGCTCCATCCCAGCAATTCAAGGGTTCCGAGCAGGTTGCCCATGGTTATCAGCTATATGCCAAATAAAAGGAAATCTATTGATTGCTGCATTTTTAGATGGACACAGTTAAAACATCTATAAAATTTATACTTTACAGTTTTACAGTATTCTGTACACACCTGCTTGGTCAGATACTTAATGTACTTTGCGTACTAGTTGTGAGGAAGGGCCGTGTCACACACCTGCGTATCCTCAATCCGCATGATTTGCCTATTGACATTTCTGTAGTACTCAGCCGTACGAACAGAATTCCGAAATGTATCTATTACTTTGAGTGATGTGTAACAAACGTATTGCGAAAAGATGACGAATTTAGCGCATTAAATACTTGGAGGTGCGAATGGCCCCCGTCATGCTTAGGGCCTAATTGAACTGGTTCCCGTCGGGGATGTAGCCCCGGCCGCGGTCCCCGGCTGGCTTCTGACGTATAAAATTTGTCCCGGTGGACTGCCGGCAACCGGGGGGTATCTCTCGGTAAAATGACGGTTATATTAGGTCATAGTCTTTTTGTAAGCGGGGCCCGCGTAGATATAGAATTCATGCTGAGGTCACATTTCCCAACAGGGCCAGGCCGGATGGTCTTATGGAACGAAAAATATGATATAAAAGACAACAAAGCACAAAAAAGATGAACAAAAATAATAATGGGAATCATATATTCTTGATATAAATTGTTGATTTTTCGTTAATCGAAAACGCCTGGGCGGGCCCCGGTTAGGAAATGTGACAACAGCATGTGAAGTCAACTGAATTCATCTCGGGTCCCCGCCTAGCCCCAAAAAAGCCCGGGAGCCGCAGGGTGTCCGGCGCCGGAGCCACGTAAGGGTCACGGCCGAAAGTGCCTCGCCAAAAAGCAGCCTGAGAACTACCCGGCGGAGCCTCTTTTTTTTCCAGTTGCACCAAAGCATAAACAGTGCGCAACACATTCTTCCCTGCGAATAGCAGCGTACGCAGTTCATGTGTAGGGCGTATTCCGGACACACTAAACTAACAGCGTATTACGAACATATTCCTGGTTTTAAAAAAAAGTGACTGTTTCCCGCAATCCCTGTTATTTTCTCACAGGTAAAAGCTGTGTCACCTTTGGCCCAGTGACAAATCAGCTGTACAAAACCACCTCTGTTTGACGCAACGCCAGTTGGCAGCGATTGGTTTATGGGATATTTAGGCTTGTTTCAAAATGGCCGCCAAGCAAGATGGCGGCTCATGAAGTACATGCTAGAAAACAGACCACAGTTCACCAGGATGGCCATGCAAGACTACATGTCAGGTACGTACAGACGGGGGATATATGGGTGCTTTATCTTTCATGTCATCTGTACATATGGAAGAAGCCGATTGCCCTGTTTCGGAACCTTTGTCCTCGCAAACTGCAGCCAGTGGCCTCTGACGACCTTAAAATTCGATCTAAAAGAGTACGGTAGTCTAAAATCCCGTTTTAACTTCATTCGCCATTACTACAACTAGGAGCCTTGTAGCATTGAAAACATGAAATAAAGTATTCGGTCAAACCGATGTCGAGAAGTCCAGTGTGCATTTCGCCCCCCTCCCACCCACTGACAAAGTGTATCAACTTCAAGCACTGGAATAAATTCAAAAAACACAACTGATTTCTTTCAAAGTAAAATTTAACATGACTGCATATATCACTTAATCATATCCTGGGATTTTAAACAGGTACCTAGTTTTGATCCAGAAATATAGACTGTCAAAGTTGCTTAAAAATTGGTCAGCCATACTGTTTACACTGTGTTAACTTCATGCACTGGGATGAATTCCAAAATATCACATGATCTTTTTCAAAGTAAAATGAATGTTGAATAGCTATATCAATCCAACATGTGCTGAAATATCAAAGAGATCATGACTTTTGATCCAGAAATATTGGCTGTCAAGGTTGCTCAAAATTTGGTCAGCCATATTGTTTACACTGTGTCAATTTCACGAACTGGGATAAATTTATAAAAACTCAACTGATTTCTTTCAAAGTAAAATTACACATGAGTACATACATGACTCTAACATATTCTGGAATGTTTAAGATGTCACTAGTTTTGATCTAGAGATATAGACTGTCAAAGTTGCTCAATATTTTGGCAGCCATACTGTTTCCACTGTGTGAACTTCAAGAAATGGGATCAATTCCAAACTTTTAAAGGATTGTTTTCAAAATTAGATGAAACATCAGTACATATATAACTACAGCATGTTTGGGAGTTTTGTAGAGGTGATTATTTTTGATCAAGACATATAGACTGCCAATGTTGCTTAATATTTGCCAGTCATATTGTATACAGTATGTGAACTTCAAATGCTGGCATAAATTCAAAAATATCAAATGATCTTCTTCAAAGCCAAATAAAATATAACTACATATGTACCCCAAAACTATTCCAGATATTGAAGTGGTCCATTCATTTGATCTAAAAATATAGACTCTCAAAGCTACCTGAAATTTTGTCAACCATATTGTTTACAGTATGTTAACTTGAATTCGAAGTGCTGGCATTTATTCAAAGAACACAGAAGATTTCTTTCAAGGTCAAATAAAACATGACAACATATCTCACTCCAACATATTCCCGGTTATTATAAAGTTACATACTTTTGATCAATAATTTTACACTTTCAAAGATGTTTAAAATTTGATCAGCCATATTGTTTTGAATATCAACTACAAACCTTAGGAGACCTCCTAAACAAACAAATGATATTTTCCCAAGTAAAGTAAGATAGTAGTAGATATATTCCTCTAGCATATGCTGCAATGCCATTTTAAATTACATGCTATTTAACCACATTAGCATATGCAGAATGATGCACATAATTGCCTTGGCCAGGTCCCCCCTCCCCCACCTGCGGTAAATGCTAACTAAATGTTATTCATGAATGTCTGAATCTTATTGTAAACACTTATGACCACCTATGAGCTGCACTGCCAGTAATATTATTGTGGCATAGGAACCCATAATGTAGTATGAACTTGGAAAAAGCTATGCAAAGTCATTGATAGTGTATGAATAGAAATGCAATGCATGTACCAGAGGATTATCCATGCAATGTTATGTGATGCTCTCTGAATTTTGACAGTATTTCAGTTACTAATTTTCTGCAAAAAGAAAAGAAACTGGTACTTCTATCTCATTATTATTCTCTTTATTTTCTAGTTGAAGTACAGGACCAAGGGAGGTACTGGTTTGTTCTGCACCAGGAAGGTGGAGTTCAACCCTGCCTAAGACACCAGATTACCTTGAATTGCTACATTGTCAAGCCATTGCATTGTTGGCAGTATAATGTTCTATTTTTTGATATCCAAAGACATGTGTATGTGGTAGGATCAATTCTGATAAGACATACCGTAATTTATTGGAAGGTTATAGACACATACATGCATTTTGACGAGAACCATTATAATTATGCTAGGAATGACTTGTTGTGTCTCTTTTCATAAATCCAATGTATTAACTGTTTTGTACCATTTTGTTTACATATTTTAGCAATGATATGTACAAAATTTGTAAGAAATCAACCATCACGACTCAAAAACTCGCTGAGACAAGTTGTAGGACAGGAGAAATTTAGACGTTGCAACCAGGAAGTCTACCCATCGTCCCTTGCGTGTAACGAGCCTCGATCTCGTGAGTGCCGCCGTTTCCCCAACCTTTACCTTCCTGCTTATCACAGCTGAAAGCTATGTAGAGGCCCTGTGGTGGCGGCGCTAGTTGGCAGTGATTGCGCGTGGTCATAATTGTTTCACGGTTACAACAATGTTTGAATATTCAGACTCATGGTATCACCACGCGGAGTCTTATCCCAGGTGAAAGCTATGTAACCTTTGACCCAGTGTAAATCAGCTGTACAAAACCACCTTTGTTTGCCGCAACGACAACAGGATTTTCACATGACTTGCCAGCAACCATTAGATATGTTGTCTAAACTCTAGTTTAAACTACAAATGTCAAAACTACACACAAGTACATATGTTTGCCTAAACTCTAGTTTAAACTACGAATATTGAAAATACATTGGACCACCTGGACATGGTTATAACCTGTACCCCGTGTAAAGTTCACAAAATATTGAAGCGACGACCCCCAGAATTTTAACATGAACTCACAAGTAGATATACATCGGAACACCTACACATCGTTATGATTTTCACCCTGTGTAAACTTTACACTGCACACAACATTTTGTTGTGTTTTGTTACTGTCGTTTTTTATCCTTAGATTTTGTTAAATAAGGCAATGCATAAAACACTGCACTGAAAAACACAATATTTTTAAAAGAAAAAGATTCTTCTACACGTAGTAAAAAAATAAATTATCCAACAATATACAACTACCTTTATCACTGTTTGGGTTTTCACGCTTTTATACGTGAAATATTTTTTCTGAACTAAGCAATTCGGAGAAACGACAGGGTCTGTTTGCAACACATTGCGTCTCATGATCAGTTTCTCCGTTTGCTCTACTGTGCACTTTCATTTCCTCACATTTTTCTAGGATTCTTTCAGCACGTTTAGATAAGTTCCTGTAACATACAGTACACGATGCACCAACGATGTTGTTTATTTACCCTTACTACGATATCGCCCTGCTTTGTAGGTTTGATTACAAACTGGTGTAATACTTTAGTTTTTAAACTATTCCATTAGTTTATTCTCACATCTACACATAAGAAAGGTCAACACATAACTAATGCATAACAAGGATACACAGAGGTAGAACAGAGCTCTAAGGTAAGACTTTGAATCTTTCATATGATTTATCGAAATGTGGACCTTATTTGCATATTCAAGAAGAAAAAATAACTAAATTCACCCCGTAGGTCTTATAGGGCATTGTTGGTGAGGTTGGTGACGCCCTATTAGTGGAGCAACACACGTACACAGAGAAAGAAAGAGAGAGAAATAACAAACCCCTCCCTCGTACCGCCATCTCTAACTCTATCTCTGTTTTACATTACTCATACAAACACACACACACACACACAGACATGACACGCCCCA